CATTTTCCCAAACACCCATGTAGGCAATGCTTGGAATTCAACTGGGATCATCCTCTGTCGGTCATTCAAAGCCGAACTGACCTCAGAAAAGTTGAAAAAATTCATCCAACAAATAGTACAAATCCCTTCTCCTGTAGGCAAAATGTGAGATGTGAGATCTGAGATGAAGTCAGAAATATCATGAAATATGTCAAAAAAACTCACTGCAAGTCAAGTCGAGTCCTTCGGGACATGCGTTAAAATTGGAACAATACAGAGAGAAAGAAGATGAGCATGGCCCCTGCACAAGGATTACATGCATGAATCAAGAAATGGTCCAAAAAAAGAAAGGAAAAAAAAAAGAAAAAAAAAAGGATTAACGCATTGGAAACAACACCCATAGGTTCTGGGCATCCAACCACTTCTCCCAAGACTCAACACAGACGCAATCAAATCAATACAATATATTACACTTGTTGCAAAACACACAAGTACACACAAGGTACATGACCTGAATGAAGTCGCACAGTACACACAAATCGACACACCCGACATCCGCGGTTCCGAAATATCTGGTACTTGGCACTTGGTCCTAATGCTAGAAACCACCACCTCTGTAGTACCACAGATGAGTCCCGCTGTCCGTCAAGTCCAGAGTCAGTGCCAAGTTTAGACCGGCTGACGGTTCGAAGCCCGGAACGTCCAAAAATAACTACCGTCTTCACCAGAATATAACGCCCGATCATTACAGCTATATTTGGCACAACTTTCAGTCCAGATACGGCGATAATTACCGGGAAGTCCTGTCCAAACACGTATGGCTAAGCTTAAGCTAACACAAACCCTGTCCACACAGGAAAGGCAGAATGCCAGAAGGAATTTCCGACAAGAGACGATTCCACATCATCGCTCACTCAGCCTCGCTGTCAATAACTTCAACTTCACGACCTCCATTGAAGCCAACAGAAGCCACCAAGGCTGGTAGCATGGGCCAGGATACAGACTTATATGTGCATGCAATAGGCAACCACGAGCACCCATCGCAGCTGGTAGCGTGGGCCAGGATATCGACTTCTCTTCTGTAATTCCTCTCCCTCCCTCCCTCCCTCCCTCCCTCCCTCCCTCCCTCCCTTCACCCTCAACCTCTCTTCCTTCTCCCTACCTCCCTCCCTTCCTGCCTCCCTCCCTTCACCCTCGACCTCTCTTCCTTCCCTCTCCTTGCCTCCCTCCCTGCCTCCCTCCCACACTCCACCCTCCCTCCTGAGAACTCTCGTCCCTCCTTCCCTCAATCCCCAATCCCTCCCTCGCTCCACCCGCCTCTACAACTTTCTCAATTGAAATCTTACAAATCACCGGCTGTCTTGCCAGTCGTTGTGAGAGAATAGAATCTTAAACTGGCTTCTGCCTACACATGGGGAAGTACAGCAAGTCGCAGAATATGGAGGGAGGGACTGTTGAGAGTTGCCGTGAATCAGCCAAGCACACCGGGTAAATGCAGAGAGCAAGTAACCAGATCATGCCGCTGTAGACCGTAGTGCTTCTGGGACGGGGTGCCTCTGCCTCTACTTCAGTTGAATCAGCCCCTCTTCCCTGTTCCGTTTGCTCCCCTTGCAATTCGCCACTATCACAAGAAGAGAGGTACACGACAGTGCAAACCGAACCAGTGTGTGTGTGATAACACAGATTTCGAGCCACAACAGCTCACTGAAGATCATGCACGAGTAGAACAGACCGAAAGCAGAATGACGAGTAGGAGAGCACACCAGTGCAACACTGAAGTTTCTTTATAATGAAAGCCGTTTTCTCGCCTCCACAAATCAGTGCAACAGCGTAGTAGTAGCAGTAAAGCTATGATGTGACCGCCTACCATCTAGCCTCCTCTCTCTCTCTCTCTCTCTCTCTCTCTCTCTCTCTCTCTCTCTCACACACACACACACACACACACACACACACGCACACACACACACACACAC